TCATCATCATCATCATCATCATCATCATCATCATCATCATCATCATCATCATCATCATCATCATCATCATCGGCAGCGTCATCGTGATCGTCATGGCCATCACCAGCAGCGGCCCACACGCACCGCCGGTGGAGGTCCGCGTGGCCCGCTTGGGGCTCCCCCCGCCCCTGGCGGCGCCTCTGGGCCCCCATCCCCGTAGCCCGCTGCGGTGCTTCCGGCACTGCCCCCGTCCCCGCCCCCATGTCCGTTGCGCGGCCGCGCGCGGGGGTAGGTTCAGGTTGGGCCTGTCCGCCCATAGGAGGATTTTGGGCGAAAAATCAACATATCAACAAAAATATTCAAAACATGTGCAAGAACACTTTAAAAAAAAACCGTCCCCAGACTGTTGTTTGACTATTCTTGAATATTCCTCCAGTAGAGGGACGTGCCCGACCTGAGGGTGGGTCCAAGGGTCACGACGGGGACCCGGCGCCGAACTTAGAAGTCCAAGCGGGCCTCCCAGGGGTTCTGCCTGCTGTGCGCTGCCCACTGCTCTCTCCTGTCCCAATGTTCTTCCGGGCCGCCCAGGCCCCCGACGCCACGATTTTTCTTTTCACAGCGTCGACCCCCAGAGTTCTCGACACCTTCACTGGGACCGGCTTCTCATCAGGAGTTGTTTTTCGACGGTCCCGAGGCCCGGGAAGGGCCCCAGGAGGCCGAAGCTGACAAGCAATCGTTCGCCCGGTGTTGTTCATGACCCGACGGGGTCTGGGCCTGCCCATCACCAGGATGGAGTGCCTGAACTACGACACGATTCCCTTTGCCGACATCATGTGTCAGATGAACGACATGATCTCTCCGGAGTTCGAGGCCCCCTCCGCGATGGGCCCACTTGCCACCACCAATACCATAATCAGGCAGGAGAGGGAGGAGGAGGAGGAGGAGGAGGAGGAGGAGGAGGAGGAGGAGGAGGAGGAGGAGGAGGAGGAGAAGGAGGAGGAAGGGGAGGAGGAGGAGGAGGAGGAGGAGGAGGAGGAGGAGGAGCACCCACTCGTCCTCCCTCCTCCCCCGTCCTACATCTGGTAGCGGTGGTGGAAGCTTTGCCCGTCGTGCTGTTCCCGCTCTCCTCTGCTCCAAGTCGGCCTCCTGCCCGCCTTCCTCCCGTGCCCCGCCGCCGCCCCGCGACGCCAAGTGTCCAGTCGGGCATGTCTCTCTCTACAGGAGGACTATCCAGGAAGAGTTAGGACAATAGTAGGGTTCAGTCGGGCCTGTCCCTCTACAGGAGCAAAATTCAAAAATAGCAAAACAATAGCCTGGGGACGATTTTTGTTGAGCATGCTTGACTACTTTGATGTATTTCTAGAGCATCTTGATTCTTTCGCCCAGAGTCCGCCTGTAGGGGGACATGCCCGACCTAATAGTAGGGTGACGGTCTCTTCGTGCTCTCTGGACTATGCTTTGATTTCTGGGGACTTTGCCTTTCAGAAGTTTTACTCCGAGGCCCGCATGTAGGAGGCCATGCCCGAGCTGGGCCAAGAGCCGCCCCGCGCTCTCCGGATGAGATCCGCGGCGGGTCCCCTTTTTCCATGCGGAGTCGGCGCGCTCCGTCGCCAGACGAGGCGGCACATGCTCTGGGGGGCGCGTGCGAACCCTACCCCCCCGCCACGCCCCGATTGCTGGAGGGCCGGGGTTCACTCGAACTCCCGGTTCTGGGTTCCCGGGTGCCCGTTTGCTGGTTCTGGGCCGATTCGGTGGGCGGCAGGGTTCCCGGGTTTCAGGGCTCCCTGTTTCGATTTTTTGATAGGTATGTATGTATGTATGTATGTATGTATGTATGTATGTATGTATGTATGTATGTATGTATGTATGTATGTATGTATATATACATATATGTATATATGTATAAATGTATATATATATATATATATATATATATTCTCATACGCACCTCTCCGAGGGAGTAGAGCTCAGAGGCGATTAATGCGCACGCGTCCGCGATGTTTCTGGGCGTTTCGCTCGGGACATCCTCGAAATTCTGAAAATCGGTGGCACCCCTCACGCAGATCGTGACGTCAGGGTCCAAAAACACATGGGAATTTCAACATTTCAACATAAAACCTTCAAAAACACATGGTAATTTCAATAATTGTGACCCCGATTCTCAGGGAATGGCGGTTTCGCTTGAAAAATCCTTTCAAAATCGAGCCCCAGACCCCGCCTCGGAGCCTCCTGGGGGCTTCCTGGAACCTCCTGGGGCCTCCTGGGGCTTTCTGAACCTTCTGGCACCCCAGACCCCGCCTCGGAGCCTCCTGGGGGTCTCCTGAAACTTCCCGGGGCCTCCTGCGGCCTCCTGGAGCCTCTTGGGGCCTCCTGAAGCCTCCTGGGGTCTCCTGGGGCCTCCTGGGGCCTCCTGGGGCTTCCTGGGGCCTCCTGGGGCTTCAGAACTAAATGCACACAGAGACACAAATCACGCCCAACACATCACACGCTAGACAAACATAAGACACACACACACAACACCTGCAACACACAAAAAGCACGCACCACACAAAGCATACATCACACACACACACGCGCACAACACTCACAATCCTGGGGCCTCCTGGAGCCTCTTCTGGTATCCAAGTCGGGCCTCCTGAGGCTTCCTGGGGGGTCCTGGTACACACATCGCAAGGTGTGGCAACCCCACTTGCGCTCGAGTGCGACTTCGATGTTGCATTTCACTCCTGCTTCAAACGCCCCTTCAGTTTTTTTGTACGAGCCTGGGCACACACGTGCCACTTGTATATATGTCGGCGGTGCCCGGTGTGGAGCGACCCCCCCCCAGAATCGCTCGTCCTGCGGGTTTCGTGCTGGCCGCACCGCCGGTGCAGGCCGGTACGAAACCCCCCGGGATGCACGAACCCCCTCGCGCCGGGGACGGTGCGCCCCGGTACGAAGCCCCCCAGTGCGCCCCGGTACGAAACCCCCCGGGATGGCCAGAGCGCGGGGTTCCAGCGGCGGCGTCGGCGGCGGCGTCGGCGACGGCGGCGTCGGCGACGACGACGACGGCACTCCTCACCGCGACAACGACGCTGACGACGGCGGCGGCGTCGGCGACGGCGGCATCGGCGTCGGCGACGACGACGACGACGACGACGACGACGACGAAGACCACGAGGACGACCACCACCACCACCACCACGCGCCCACAGGGGGGGCTGGGGGGGGCCACCACGCCACGCCCACAGTGGGGGGGGCCCATCGCGCGGGGAGGGGGCCAGACCCTGGACCATCTATTTCATATCCGTCCGTCGATCCGTCCATCCATCCGTACCTCCATTCATGCATCTAGTCCTCCCTCCCACCCCACGCCCACGCCCCAAAGACCCACCCCCATCGCTTCCACGCAGCCCCCCCCGCCCCCACAGGAGCCCCCCCACACTCCCACGGGAGCCCCCCACCCCACCACCACAGGGGGGGGGTTGCGCCGGTGTTCCCGGTACAAAACCCCTTGGGAAAGAGGGAGAGAGTGGGTTCCAGGTCGTCGGCGGCACCTGGTGCGCCCTGTACGGACCCCCCCGGTGCCCGACATATATGGATGTTTGCGCACGAAAACTTAATTCATCATGTTTCGGTGATTTGCTATTTGTTTCCACTTTCGCCGCGACAATGTTGAGCTTGATTATGGCATATGGCCGTTGCTTCAATTACGTGTTGCTCGGCACTGCATCATATAGGCCGAAAGCGAATCGGGCCTGCAGTATGTCATGCCGTATCTGGACCCTCCAGCAGCCTTCGAAAGTGGCGACAGCTTCGCAGATCGCACTCCAACAGGGATGGCGAGGTCAAATTTCAATCTGCGTAGCACGTCACTCCACTGGACCCCCAGAAGCCCTCGAATGTGCCGACAGTTTCGCAGATCCTAGGTCCCCAAGGATGGCGCGGTAGGCAACAAGCTGGCACGCAGAAAGGAACGAGGCAGGAGTCAGGAGAGAGGAGACAGGAGATGGGAAGGAGGAGAAGGAGGAGGTGGAGACCGCAGTGCTCTGTTCAAAACAAGTACCCACCGCAGGAGGGTTGGGAAAAGCAGCATCGGTTTGAAAAGGTGAGTGGAGCGGGACAGGCCTGGGAGTCGCTTGTGGGAGTGCCTTGGAGCGGTCACAAGAGTGTCCCAGGAGATTGGACAGGCCGAGAGGGCCGGGATGGCTCCCAAGCTGCCCAGCATTTGCTTTGGCATGGATTCAAAGACATCAGTGCTTCGACGTGCTTCGTTCTGGAGGGAACTGGAGGGGGGTGCAAGAGATGCGCGCTGCGAGAAGGCTAAATGAATCAATTTCGGGGGGGCCAGAGAGGGTCCCAAGAAGGCTCCAGGAGGCTCCCATGACAGCCCAGGGCGGCCAAGATGCTCTCCAAGGGCCCCCAAATATGGCCAACATTTGGTTCAAGCCACGTTGGTTCAAGCAACGTTGGCTCAAGCCAGGTAGGCTCAAACCACAGGTGGCTCAAGTGTTTGTCCATCGTTCCAGTGATAGCTACTTCGGCGTAAACCACTGGCGCCAAGTATATCATTCGCCGCAGCGTGCCACCTGTTTTGGCAGGCACATGGCCAGTTGTTATGTCTTTCAATTGTGCTTTGTTCCATTGATGTGTGGAGTATCAGTCCGTTTCGCCGGCATATCCAGTACCATCTTGTTTCCATTTCCGATGGCATCTCTGCAATTGATGCCTTTGGCACCCGCGTTGTCAGCTCAAGGAACGGTCAGCAAGTCAAGTGTGCCCAACAGCTTTCCCTCTAAGCAGCTTAAAGACAAGAGTTTGCATGCCGATGCACGTTCGATATCGCATCAAACGGAGGCGCCTGCATTGCCGAATCATTCATCAATCAGCAAAGCGAGTGTTCTTGGCCGCTTTCCTCTGGTTGGGAACCGCACAGATTTGTCTCACAGCTATGCAGATACAAGTAAGATGGCGTGGGTGCATTTGTCCAAAACCGGGACATCCATCATGAACGTATTCTTGACAGTTGGTTGCCCAACCATGCCTTCAAATGAATATGTGTCGGACGTGGGTGGGGGAGGACAAACATAATTTTCAGCACTAGCATCTAAATGGTTGACGCTTCGCGAATCCCCACCAGCCCATCCAGAAACGATGCCCAGAGGAATTGCCTCGATCAGGGAAGTGGGCAGCACACAGAGGAAGCCCTTATGAGACATCTTGGGATATCTTGAGCCATCTTGGAGGTCATTTTGGACTCTCCCAGGCGCTCTTGGAGTCATCTTAATCAGTGCCCCCCCAAGAGGCCAACATGTGGTCAACACCTTTTGTAAAATCAATGATTTGGCATTCTCGCCGAGGCCTCTTGGAGCACCTTGGGTGCCTCTGGGGGTCTCTTGGGGCCTCTTGGGGGTCTCTTGGGGGCCTCCTGGGGGCCGCTTGGGGGCCTCCTGGGGCCATCTTGGGGCCATCTTGGGGCCTCCTGGGGCCTCCTGGGCGTTTCTTGGTGCCATCTTGGAGGAGATCGATCAAACAAGAGGGAGTTACCGCCCCCCCCAGGAGGCCAAAATGGGGCCAACACCATAGTAAAACCAATGATTTTGGCGTCCTCGCCGAGGCCGTTTTGGACGTTCCGACGACTCGCGAAACCCCTTGCCCATGTCCATGGGGAGGGGGTAGGAGGAGGGGTCAAGAGTCTCCCTCCCCGCCCGCAAACCGTCTCGCTCACTCCCACCCGCCCTCCCAACACACACGTAGCACCCGAGCCTGGCCCGAGCCGCAGCATATGCAGCAGTCGTCTTTGGATGGGCAGCTACTGTGGGCCAATCCGCCGCCGACCCGCCGCCGCCGCCGCCGCTGTCGTCCGCCTCCGCCGCCGCCGCGCCGCCCGC